TTCTTTTGTAAAATATTTTTTCTGTATTGATTCTAGAGAGAGGAAAGGAAAGGGTGAGAGAGATAGAAACATCGATGAGAGACAACATCGATTGGCTGCCTCCTGCAAGTCCCTCACTGAGGGGTTGGGCCCACAACCTGGGCATGTGCCCTGACCAGGAATCAAACCTGCGACCTCTTGGTGCATGGGTCAACACTCAACCACTGAGCCACACAGGCCGGGTGATTTGTGTTTTTCTTGAGAGAATCCTGTGGTACTAGTTGTTAATAATCCCTGGCGTTCCCCTAAAGGTATAAGAAATACTAATTTTTGTCTTAAAGCTATATCGTCAGGTCAGAAATTATTCTCATTTGTGACTTGGCAGAACCCTTCCAACTAGCTCAAAATAGAATTGTAATTTTTTTTTAAGCACAAAGCCCTTCCTTACAAGTGTAGTTGCCTGGGTACATCAAGTGCACACAGCCTACACAAGTTTTACACTAGAAGAGAGTGAGGACCCAGAATGTCTCTGAAGGACAGTACTAACTTACCGTGAAAACCCTGGTGCTGAAAAGAGTAAGCCGGTTAGAAAATGTGAGGACGAACACTGCACAGCTGCAGCCTAAGGAAGAGAGAAAAGGAGTTTGGTAGCCGTTACATCACATACTGTGTTCTCTTCCAGAGGGCACAGCCCAGGTTTACTGTTGTTTTCCTATGTTAGGTAATCAAATGAACTTCCTCCATGTGTAAAACTTTTGCTCCTTCCTGTATTTTAATAGAAATGGTACTCAAGACCTTAACTGGAGGATAATGGGGCTGCTGAGTTGTACTCCACTGGCCTTGCTGCCCTGCTCCCTGCGAACTTTCCTGTGTATTAAATGTACTCCTTTAATTCACTCCACTCATTTTATCTCTTTTTTCCAACATTTTGTGAAATACTTCAGACATAAAAAAGACAAAGAATAATAAGTGAACACCAATGTTCATCTGACCCAGATTATGAGATGAAACACCAGTGGAGCTGAAACTTCCGGTATACCCTTTGTGTCACATCTGCCCCTCACTTCCAGACGTCGGCTTCAAACATTCTCTCATTTTTAAAAAGCAGTTGCACTTTAGACACTAAGAGCCAAGGGCTCTAAGAAGAAGAAAAGAATTTTATTAGATTTTTATTTGCCTTTCCTTCTCTAATTTAAGAATATATTTTTCTAAAAAAAAAAAAAGGCTAGAATTCTCAGGTTTGCTCATAGATGGGGAGTACCCTAAGCAATCTTCTCTGTGTGACAGTGACACGACTATTTTGATGACCAAGAAGAGAAGCAAGTAGGCTAAGGCTCATTCTGGTCTCTCCTTTCTGTCACCAGGAGGATGTCCCACCCTCCAAAGAAAAACGTTCTGGCTTTGTCCCATATAAATTTTTTTTAATGGAAAACTGCTGCTCACAAGCAGTAGTGGTCACAGGTAGGCCCTACAACTGGTCCTTTTAATCATCATCAACTCTTCAACCTGTGGAGGGTTCTAGAACATGCCTAGAACACTTTGAAGTGACTAGAACATCCCTCTTACTTTCCCTCTAGTTCCTCCATTACCATTAGGCTTTCTCCTCACCTATGCATTCTAGCTTCCTTTTACTTTTGTTACAAAGGACCTAGTCAAAGAGGAGTTGTAGACCGAGGTCATCATTGTAGGAAGTATCAGGATATTTATGATTTAAATTCTGACATTGTGATCATCATTAAAACATATTTTTAACTAACAGTAAAAACACCATCTGGGGGTGGGGGGAGAGTTGAACTTATTAAGAAGGATGGCTTGCTGTGGAAATAACTAATTGTCATAATGTGGTAAATTTTGCTTTGCTTTGCTTATATAGCTGCTTGAAGCTCCTTCTGGCCTTAACTGCCTGGACACATAGTAGTGGCCTTACAGCGGCTGGTGCTGCTGGAAGACTGGCCTGTGTTTCCGTGGATTTGCCAGCTCTTGGAGAACCTGTGGTGATGTCTTCTGAGGTTTGCATGCTTCGACTTCCTTTCATGCAAGTGCTTTTAGCTACTAAGATTTGTATTTGGCTCTGTGTGTTTACTAATCTCCTAAGTGTTGGCTGTCATGCTGTACCAACTGTCTTTGTGCTCCTCACACTCATGGCACAGTATTTGTATCGCTTTGTGGTGTAAACACTTCAGATGGAGTGTTCCAGAACTTGTTAGGCCCCACATTAAAAGAGGCGATTTTTCTTGACTACTTTTTTGTGTATATACTTTCCAGAGTCTGGTTCTTCTAGATTTTGAGGGCAAGGCAGAGGGGTGGAACTGTTGAAAAGCATTTTATAGAAAGTTTTTTCAAGTCAATCAGTATTTACTGAGCTACTCTGTGGCAGGTACTGGGGGTGAGATGGTACCTGTCCCCCAAACCAGATGATCACACTCAGTGGAGGTGAGTTACAGGAATTACTTGAATACATTTCCACTCTCTGATTATAAAAGAAGACAGAGTGATTAAAAATACTATCATAGAGGTATAAATAAGTTATTGAGAAGAAGCAGAGATGTCATTTGAGCAGGACTTTGAAGAGTAGATAAGAAGTCGGAAGCTTAGAAGTGCCTGGGACATTTGTCGTGGATTGAAGCACTGAGTGCGCCAGGAATCGTGTCTGAGGCGGCAGAGGAGACGCCTGATGCCGAGTTGGGGAGGGCGAGTTGGGGAGGGCCGTGTAGGAGGCCGAGGAGCTGGGGAGAGACACGGCCCGCCCCGCTGCAGCGAGCTGCTGTCACGGGGCAGTGGTCTCCTGCCCCAGTGAGCGGGGGAAGCGAGGGCAGTTGAGCTCCATCCAGAGGCTCCGTCCTCCTTGGGAAGCATGAAAGCGGACTCTCGTTTTCAGTGATCCGAAGTCTCCTAAACAGAACAGCCAGGCTCAGCATTACTTCCAGAGGTTAGTTCTGGCGAATTTATCAGAAAACTACCTGAGAGCTGAGAGAGTTTTTTCATATGCAATGTACTTTATTTATCTTGTGGGATAGCGGCCTAGTTAAATTTACTTCTGCAGAGTGAGCAGACTAAATGTTTGTAAACTGAATTATTTTACACAAGCAAAAAGGAGTCTGTATTAAATTCTGTTTTAATATAGCTAATTTGATTATTTTAGAGCAAGACGGTAACCCTCTTCCTCTGCTCTGTCCCCATTAATGTATGCTTTAATTCTTTTTCTCATCAACACCTTCAATTAAGAAATAAGTATTGAACTTTTCACCTCCAGAACACATTGGTTTTTGCCATTTACAGATGACAAAATTCTCTGTTCTTCAGAAATAACTTGTGTGAGTGAACTTATTTATGATTTCTGGAACACAAGTTGTTTGGGTCTAGGATGGGGTTCTGCAGACCTTTTCTTAAAGGGCCAGACAGTAAATATTTTAGGCTTTGAGGACCGTATGGCTTCTGGTGTAAGTGCTCCCTGCTGTGTGGGGGAAGCCGTCACAGACGACACAGACCAATGGGCATGGCTGTGCTCCAGTATAAGCGAATTTTCAAAACAAGCAGCAGGTGGGGGTTTGCTGACTCCTGGCTAGAATTTTCTTCCGCTTAAGCCAATTGCATATCTGGGGAAGGAAATAAAAAAGAACAGGGCAAGATGCCAGTGATATTGTTGCACAAGTAATTCCTGTAACTTAGGTAACTGTGACTTGCAGAGGCCATTATTTTTAAGTTACCCTGCACTGCCTTTATGTGTACCACTGTAAGGAGAAAGGCTTCCTTCCATCTGCCTCTCCGTCCTGCGCAGCCTCCTCTGCACCTGTCCTGAGTGCCCACCACGCAGCAGGCGGCGGGCTGGGCACTGGAGACAAGTCGTGAACAGGCAGAGGGGCGCCTTCCCAGAGGGCTGCCGACCAGTAGAGGTGACAGGCAGTGAGCGAAGTGGTTAAAGGTTGTGATAAGCACTGCGATGTCTTTGAGCATCGTGCTGAGACAGATGATGAAGGGGGGCCGCTCCGAGGAGGTGAAGTTGAAGCCGAGACCGGAAGTTGAGAAGGACCGAGTCATGCAGAGCCTGACGGGCCGGGAGGCAGTCACTCTCCTTTCCCTCCCGTGTCAGCGTAGATGTGGATCAACTGCTCAGACTTTCACACAGATTATTAAAGGCTATTTTATACGATTTTTTCTCCTTTTAACTTTCTTTTTAAGCAAGGCTAAAAGCAGTAAGAACTAGTGGAAGTTTTTGTCTTCTCATTAGTACGTGCACATACATTCTGAATGTACTTGGAAGACTTGGCTACCAGAATTTAAGGTTTGGGCAGTGTGGCCTATTATTTAGAGCCGTGGGGCTGTGTGAGGTCTGGTCATGCTTTTATAAGGTTGAACCCTCATCTGTCCTGCTTTACTATGTCTCTCCTGAAGATCCTCCAGGTGCAGTGGGGGGCGGGGCCCTCTGCTGGGCTGTCACTCACACCTGCCGGGGCTGGCGCGGAGGGAGCAGCATTCTGCAGGAAGCTCAGTGGGTGGGCTCCAGGGTCTGCACAGGCCCTGTCACACTGCAGGCTCGTCAGGTCAGGCCTCGGGAATAGTTACAGGGAGGCTTGTGTCCCTCTGGCTCCTGCGCTCTGCTGCTTTGTTCTCATCCATAGCTGTCTGCTTACCTGCTCGGGGCTGAACTGGCTCCTGCCGCTTGGTGGAAGGTGAGGAGGTAGGTGGGCTGCGTGAAGCTCTGTGTTCCCCCCGCTGTCTCTGTCAGCTCAGTGCCCAGCTGCCGTCGCTTCACTTTGCTAATAGGGGATGTGGACAGGTGCACAAGGTACCTTGGCTATGTGTGAGTAGCCCTTTGAATCTTCGTACAGGAGGAGCATGTCCTACTGGAAGTGACCATCCTGCAGAAGCCTTGCCTAGACGAATTCACCATTGTGGCTTGGTGTGGGTTTTTAATTTTTGTTATTGGGGTATTTTGTTTGCTTGTTTTTGTTTTGTTTTGTTTGTTGTTTGTTTTTCCTTTTTATTTTGTCCCAACATTTTCCTTTATAGTCCACCATTAGATATTGATCAGTTGAAGCTCATTTTAAGACTCGTTGGAACCCCAGGGGCTGAGCTTTTGAAGAAAATCTCCTCAGAGTCTGTGAGTTGATGCTTTGATTGTAATTATCTGCCCTGTTGGGAGCGTCTGCCACTTGCCTTCCATCAATCTGTACTTTGACCCGGGTGTGTTTCTAAGCATGTGTGCCCTTTGTGTGCTGACTTCCAGGATGAGGTGTGTGTGTGTGTGTGCGCACGCGCGTGCAGGTGTGTACTTACACACACGCACACACACCCTCCTGCTCACATGCATGAGTGTGTTTTGTTTTCTCTCTCTCTGGGTATGTACTTAGATCACGGGAATCTGTGCTGGGCAGGGGTATCCTGGTAGTAAATGAAATGAGATTTGACATTCTGATTCATTTCAAGAGATCAATGGAAAATGTGTGTCTCTGTTCTCAGCCCTGACTTCATCTTTCTCAAGTTTCACATGTAGTCAAGGACTCGCTTCACTTTCTGGTTAGTGTTTGTTCTCAGAGCGTGAGGTCCACCATGTTTTAGTCTCCCATCATCACTAAACAAAATGACATGTGCATTGTCTGCAGGCCCTTGCCCTTTGCCGGAAGGTCCCTGCTTGTTCTTGTTTTAGAATTGACCACCTGCACACCTGTGCACAGCGTCAGTCCCTAACAGGGGCTCCTCGCTACCCAGTGCCCAGACCAGCAGAGGCTGCGCCCCTCTCCTGAGTCCGCAGAGCCACAGGAGTAGGGTTGTAAATCCTTCCTGCCACAGCCGGCCTTTGTAATTACAGACTGGAGCACACCGAGGAAAGGCTTTGGCGCTAATGCTTTCCTGCCTCCACGCGGGCGTTTACAGAGAAGCCATGGGAATGCGCCTCTGGCTTCCTTTGGCTGTGATTTCCTGCTGTTGGTCATTTTCTTGGGCAGGAGACGTGAGAAAAATCATGGACGCCCAGCCTTTCTCCCTTTTCCCTCCGCCTGCTGCCTGGTGGCTGGGGGAGAGGGGCAAAGAGCTGTGGAACCAAGCTTCTGTGGTGCCTTCCTAGGCCCTCCTGCCAGCATTTCTGACTGAAGGGGTGCCCTTGCCCAACCGGGAGGACCACTGGGTAGCTTGAGGCAGGCTTGAGCAGGTGAGTTCGACGGTTATCATTTCCCCATCAGAATAAAGACTGTTGTCATCTGGTGTGTGTCTGGTACATTCCTTAGAAGGACCACAAAACCCAGGGTATTTATGGATTTCCACTCTGACGACGTCAGAGAATGCACTGGCCCTATTTTGTTTTGTTGTATTCACTCATTTAGGACGAGGAAGCCAAAGCACAGAAATGCTGTGACTGGCCTGAGTCATGCACTGAGTCACTTGGCAGAGCTGAGCATAGATCCCAGATGCTCTGATAATGTGAGCCGAACCTCCATGTCCCGTGATTGCGCACTGTTGTGAGAGTCCCTGTCAGTTACTGACCACAGTCCACACCAAGGAGTGTTTCCTTTTGCTTTATGAGATGCAGAAGCTGTATCGGTGCATCAGAGAAGCTAGGCAGAGATGCTTAGAGAGGATGGTGCTTTTCGTTTTAAATGCCTTTGCTTCGAAGGATTGGCTAATAGGACATGAGGGTGGGGGAGTGGGGTTACGAAGTTGGGCTTATTAATGAATAGAGCAAATGAGACTAAGATAGCAAACCCCTCGCCCACCCCAGCCCTCTGCCTAGACGTGTGCCATCAGTGACAAGAATTTCTAAAGGAAAGGTATGGGTAACATAGTATTTTCCTGTCAGTAATCCACCGTTTATTTTTAAGAAAGAAACAGCACCAAGTGCCTGACCTAATACTGAGGTGTCTATTTTTTATTTATTTATTTTTTATCCTCACCCGAGGATATTTTTTCATTTTTGTACAGATAGAGTGGGAGGGAGAGAGAGAGAGAAACATCGACGTGAAGGGACACATCGAGTGGTTGCCACCCGCACGACCAACCAGGGCCGGGGACAAACTGCAACCGAAGTACGTGCCCTTAGCGGGAACCGAACCCGGGTCTCTCTGGACCGCAGGCCGACGCTCTAACCGCTGAGCCAAACCGGCCAGGGCTCCACCGTTTATTTTTAAGAAAGAAACAGCACCAAGTGCCTGACCTAATACTGAGGTGTCTATTTTTTGTGAAATAGGGCACATTATATGTTATTAAGCTCTAAAGAAGAGATGGGCATAATAAAATTGAGTATCAGAATTCAAAATTTACCCAAGTAATATTGTACTGAGTATGGGAATAAGAAAGGGTGTTTTTTTCTACATAGTTATGTCAAATGGATAAAAGTAGTTTAAGTATTCCAAAGGGTAGGCGAGATTAATTTGGTGTTAGTGACTACCCAAGTACCAGTTTATTTGAAAAGCACATTATGTATGGACCACATGATATGTAAATAACAGAGCCAGGTGAGTAAAATTGTTTAAAAATTTTAAAAATTAAAAGAAAAATTTATTGTTGAAGGAATGTAGTAGACAGAAAGCAGTGGCCATTTTTGTTGCCCCTGAAAAGTAGAGAAATAGTGTAGAAATTCAGTCAGGAAGGAGAACGTAAGACTAGATGGGCTGATTGAGAAACAAATGAGGACGTGCGGTGAGAAGGGATCAGCGACGGATGGATGGCCAAGGAGATAGAATTTGTTTTGGTTGGTAACCCAGTACCTATAGTAATTAGTGAAAGAACAAAACGTCATTATAAGAAAGCAAAACAGTAACAACACAAATTAATCTCAACAACACAAACGTTTCACTGACTCACTCTCACATTTTTCTCTAGAAATTTATTTTTTCTGACTTCCAACAAGAAGGGGGTATAATAACCTATTTGACTGAAGGAGACTAAACAGAAAATGAACAGGCCAGGTGAGGCACAGGTAGTCACGGTTGTGAGGACTCGAAACAGTGTATTCTTGTATTGTTATTAATTATTGTATTTCCACGGGAACCACTGTACACCTACCTTTGCCCACCCTGTAGTCACAGGAACAAAGAGAGAAGGGGCAGGATTTTAACATTTTAAAATCCAACTGGTATTCTGCCGATGGTTACCCTTCTGTTATTCCTCTTGCACTGTTTGTTATATAATTTGTTTAGAGGTAAATCTAAACTTTGTTGTGAGAATGTTAAAAGAACTTCATACCATCTTTTGAATATGCTGGCCTCGCGCCTCTGGGGTGGCAGGGATCTTCAAAGGGAGCACCAGCTCCAGCCTACCACTGAATGTGTTTGTAGTGATCTGTCCACTAGGGAATTTGTGTTCAGGGAATGAGCTAAAGTGGAAAATTAGTAAGGGAAGCCACAAAGAGGTGAAACCACTTGACCAGGATGCTTTTTGAAGGTAATGCTGCAGCTGAAGGAGAGCGTTGATAGTTAACAAGAAAGGGAATATAGCAAAGTTTATTGACTTGTGTCGAGGATTTTGAAAATCCCCTCACGTCGTCTTCAACAGGAACACATGCTAAACGACCAGTTCTCGTAATATTTTGGAGGAGGGGGAGTGTGTTAAAATTGATGGCACACGCCCTGGCCAGTTTGGCTCAGCGGTTAGAACGTCCGCCTGCGGTCCGGAAAATTGATGGCACAGCTCAAAGAGAAGTTTGGAGTGTGTCTTATATGTGTGCTTGTTTTTATAGAGGGCCTCATAGTTCTGCCTTTGTCAAGTAACTGCACAGTGTTTTGCAAACTTTGTCCCAGCTGTTTGTTAGGTGAGGTCAGTGTGGTCACCTGTTCAAGTGACTGTGGGAGAAATCACTGTGGCACGCAGCCTAGGACTTATGTGACCTCAGCAGCCTGGGACTTCTGTGACCTCAGCAGCCTGGGACTTCTGTTTTGTTTTTGCCATTAGCTTCTAACCCCCACCCCACCCCCACCCCATGTTCCCTTTCTTCACTTACCTGTGTGTTTGTGGCATGTGTTTTAAATGTACCGCTACTAATGTCTCTGAAACTTAGCATTGCTTATCAGCCCAAACACCCACCCACGTCTTACATTTGGAGGGGTGGTGCCTTGGAGATCACCAGAACCTGTGCCACAAAAGTTTAACCTCTTCCTTAAATGGATTCATTGGATATATTTTGTCCTGAATTGAGTCAAAATTTTCTGAGTTATCTCCAGATACCCCACTAGCAAACAGGTTGTGGGCATCAGTACTTGAAAACAGTTCTCTGGCTGGCATCCTGGACCAAGGGGCAGTCTCTTTCCAGGGAGCCTGAAATATATAATACTAAAGATGATGCTAAACCCACAGAAAATTCTTCTTATCCGCACGGCCAGTCACTGGCTACATGCTGTTCACAGAAGCATGCTTTCAAGTGCAGCCTTGGGCTCTGGCCTGGGGTGGGTGGGATGGGTGGGGAGTAGGTTTTTTTATTTGTTTGGGGGTGGCTTTTGGCCTTTTAAAACTTGAGTTGAAAGTTATTTTTTGTACCGTATGTTTAACAACGCCCTTGACTAGGCATCTAAGATATTAACCAGCTTCAGCAGATTATGCGTCTGACGGGGACACCCCCTGCTTATCTCATTAACAGGATGCCAAGCCATGAGGTGAGAACAGTAGACTGCACAGGGGTGCGCAGCTCAGAAGGCACACTCTCACTTGATTGCACTGGGTAACCACACAGTCGTCCGTGTCCCTGAATGCTTGCATGTGCCTTAGGGCTCCCGGGGATTGACTGCCTGTGTGCTGCTGCAGATGCTTGTATCTGGGGTGAAACGGCACCCAACCCTGCGGGTTGAGAGTACTGTGGATAGACTTGTATGTAGGAAGGATGTTCTTTTCTATTGGGGTTTTGGGAATTGAGTGCTCACGAGGCTGTTTGGTGTCCCCCAGCTCTGAGCCTGTGCTTAGGGCAGCTACCACCCGATGGCTCAGCTGGGGGCGGGCACGGGAGGCTTGGGCACGCTTTCCCAGTCATCAGTGTTCTGGATGACCAAAAACTAAAACACTGAAACGTCCAACTAATAAGTACTATATTTAAAAGAATACACAAATAATATAGAATAAACACGAATACCTACGTAGGGTTAGCAAGGTGCCCCTTTTTTTGTAACTAATTCTTAACTATTTAACTCTAGTTTTATCATCAGAGATGGTGGCGGCACTGTTTTCTAAGGTGCCCTCATGGTTTCTGGGACCAGGTTGGCATCACAGGTCCTGCCCTTCAGCTGCACTCAGGTGGTCTTATCTGTCTTCGTCTTGTTAGAGGGACGACTGTTCTCTGCGTGAGACAGACAGGTCTCTTTCTGCCTCAGGCTGCCCTTCAGCCTTTTTTCTATATGCTCAGGAGGAAGGGATTACAGCCATGTGGATATTCAGTTCCTAGAACTTTCCTTTTGAATTGGGAGGATCCACAACTGCTTTTCAGAGCGGGTCTCGCCTGCTCACTGCACCTGTAATGAGAAGGTGAAGTTGCCTAGCAACCAGACCTTTTTCTAACCTTGTATGTGGTGTGTGTGTGTGTGTGTGTGTGTGTGTGTGTGCTTGTGCACATACATGAGTACCTTTACACTGAGGAATTGTAGAGGTGGTTAAGATAGATTCAGAGAAGTTATATCTGAACTACTCAGATGGACAGATAGTGGGATTTATTCATTGAAACAGGAAAGGTCATCGATATAGTTTAATACCTGATATCTGACACACACATTTATGAGTTACATTTGTATTTATGTGATTATCCTCAAGACCAGTTTGGGGTTTTGCCTTGATTAGAGCTGTCGGCCCTTGAAAGAATGTGGCACCTTGCGTTCCTTAGACCGAAGCTCAGGAATCAGGAAGTTGGCACACCCTTAGGAAGTGAGAGCAGACTGTCCTTCTCAGGCAGCGGCTAGCAGCCAGTGTTGAGAGCTCTCACTCTGCCTGGGGCCGGGCCGAGAGGTGCTGGTTTGTTGTTGATCCTCACTCCAGCACGGTGAGGTACGCACTGCTTCTAGTCCCTTTCCCGGAGAGGAACTCAAGACGGAGATAATAAGTAACTTGCCCAAGGGTTAAAGTAAAGACTCAAATTCAAGCCTGTCCCGCCCCAGGGACCAAACTTACATCAACTCTGTTGGTAACATACATGTTGTTTGTGTTCGAGTTTGAAGTTCTTCCACGAGTTTGATCTTGCTTGAGTAGCACAACAACCGTATGATGTAGGCAAGCCACATACTGACACCGAATATTTGCATTTTGCAGATGAGGTCATTGATATGTTACTTGAGACTTGCTCAAGAAGGTGTAGCTCAGAGTAGGAGGGAAGGGTTGCTGCCTGGGCCATGTACCTTGTATTCCATTACTCTTTATTGCTTTCATTGGTTAGGTGTTTTTTTTAAATATGTTTTTATTGATTTTTTTTTAGAGAGAGAGGAAGGGAGAGAGATAGAAACGTCTATGTGAGAGAGAAACATTGATCGGCTGCCTCCTCCACGCCCCCTACTGGGAATTGAGTCTGCATCCTGGGCATGTGCCCTGATGGGAATTGAACTGGGGCCTCTTGGTCCATGGGACAAGGTTCAATCCACTGGCCGGGCTGGTTTAGTATTTTTAAAATGTGTTTAAGCCTCTTTGGATACTATACTAAGCTTATGTTTACTTGTTACCAAGATTAGTTTGTTAGCAGGGTTTAATATTGATATCCTTTGTTACATTAAGCGTGCCCACTAAACCCAGCAGCATCGAAAGTCAGCCATTCCATTAGGAATACCAATTCCTACACCAAGTTTAGCTTTTAGGAAGGCTGTCTCAGAAAGGGCTGCTGCTTAGGTGTCTGGGCCTCTTTTTTAAAAATTCTGATCAGAAAGCTAGTGAAAGGGAACATAATTGGTTAGCATTCTCATCCGCTTGAAATATAACTGTGAGATGTGATAGGGATATAAATGTGATCATAAATAAGGCAGGACTGCAGTAGGAGAGAAGTCTTCAGAGACAGTCATAAACATTGGAGCTAGAAGACTTTGTCGTCAACACTTGTTCCTAGACAGGACCAAGACTCCCTGAGGGCAGTAACATCACTGAACAAAAAGCCATTTTGAAAACCCTTTGTTTTTACAGGCAAGAAACTACATTCAGTCTTTGACCCAGATGCCGAAGATGAACTTTGCAAATGTATTTATTGGTGCCAATCCCTTGGGTAAGTTGACCATATCTACCTGTCATGGATATGACATTGGTTATGACGTAAGTTAGGGATCTGAAGCCTGTGACTTGCTCATAGCTGCTGCTATATCTTTTTTTTTAATTAATTAATTTTTGTTACAGATGTTTCTCCTTTTTTTCCCCATTGACACACTCTTCCCCATCCCCGCCCCCCGCCCATCTCCAGCTTTGTTGTCTATGTCCATTTGTTATGTGTACATGCATATAAGTTCTGTGGTTTATCTCTTCCCTCCCCCATCCCCTAGTCTGAGGGTTGTCAGTCTGTACCCTACTTCTACGTCTCTGGGTCTGCTCTGTTCCTCAGACTGTTATGTTCATTATATTCCACAAATAAGTGAGATCATGTGATGTTTGTCTTTCTCTGCTTGGCTTGTTTCGCGTAGACTAATACTCTCCAGGTCCCTCCATTGTGTATATGTACCACAGCTTTTTTATCCACTCATCTACTGATGGACACTTGGGCTGTTTCCAAATCTTAGCAACTGTAAATAGTGCTGCTATGAACATGGGGGTACATATATTCTTCCTGATTGGTGTTTCAGGCTTCTTAGGGTATATTCCCAGCAGGGGGATCACTGGGTCAAATGGCAGTTCAATTTTTAATTTTTTGAGGTAACACCATAGTGTTTTCCATAGTGGCTGCACCAGTCTGCATTCCCACCAGCAGTGCACTAGAGTCCCCTTTTCTCCACACCCTCGCCAGCACTTGTCGTTTGTGCGGCCATTTCTTACTCAGGCTGAGGGTAAGAACAACTGAGGCGCAGGCGGTGAGAGCCGACCACGGAGCTCGTGCAGTGTGCCTGCCCCGCGGTAGCCCCGGGTGCTGGGGCCTGCCATCCTCGTGTCCTGTCCCTCCCCCTCCTGTCCGGCCCCTCAGAGCCAACCGGTCTCACTGTGGAGCTAACGTGCCGCCTCAGGCTTTGAGGAGTACACCACATTCCTGCCGCCACCACGCCAGGACCCTTGGCCAGCGGGCGGCAGTGCAGCTGCAGGACATATGCTGCCCTGGCTCAAGAAGGGGTCGCTTTGTTCCTTAAAGCCCGGGTCCGTGTGTGCTTCAGTCGGCCCCCAAAGGTGGCACTGTCTGAGGCCCTGGCTCCGAGGGCAGTGGACAGTGGCGGATGCAGAAAACTCGGACCGGGACCCCCTGGACAGGAAGGGAGCGGTGGGAGGCTGTGATAATAGTATGATCGACCTTCGCACTTTTCCCAAGACCGTAGAGTGGTCACCCCGCGCAGGGGCCCGGCAGCCGTGCTTCCGGGTCACGAGGGCTCTTCGGAGCTGGAGTGAGGCCAGGTGGTTTTACCTTTCCGGAGCTTCACTGTGTGATGGCTGACTGGTTTCAGCATCACTGTGGCCGTCCCCCAGCAGCACAGGTGCGCACACTCTGAGGTGTTGGGCGATCACAGGTGAGTTCACAGCCCTGAGGTGGCGGGTCCGTCCCATCTCAGCTGGCCACTCCTTCCAAGGGTGCACCACAGGCTCCCCGGGCACAGGACTCGCGGGGTCGGGTTAGGGTGGACCTGCCCTGCCGTGCTCTCGCTGGCTGTGTGACTTATCTGAGCTTTGCCATCTAGTTCAGGGATCTGCGAGACACTCTCTTTGAGTCTTAAGTACTCTAGGAATTTGGGAGATGATGTTACGTGCCTGTAGCTTTCTTGTCTGTCATTCTGTTCTGGACATTTTTCGTCATATCAGCTCATGTCAAACTTACTGTTTGACATCCTGTCGGCTGACTCTGACTTGTTCGTTCATTTCCCTGGGGAAGGAGGATGTATGTGTGTCCCAGCAGCTTGCTTAGGTCACATCCATCCTGATGGAATCCCCTTCTCTGGAATCATGCCGTTTGAACATTCAAAAGAGCTAGATACCACTTAGCAGTACAGACTGCAAGTGAGCTTCAGGCCATCTGGTGCCCAGCACTGCAGTTCTCGGAATGTAAACATGACTCCCAGCCCACTGCCAGACGGATGTCGCAGGAGCATCTCTTCTCGCGGACGTCTGAGAGCGTGATGTCACTGGCCGAGAACTTGGGCCTAGCTATTAACCAGGCAGGAATACACCAGTAATGTAAATATTGACATCTGTTTTGTCAGTCAGTGACTGTTTCACCATTACCCTTAAAACATGAATTAAGCCCTGGCTGGTTTGGCTCAGTGTAGAGCGTTGGCCTGCGAACCAAAGCTCTCAGGTTCGATTCTGGTCAAGGGCATGTACCTCGGTTGTTGTTTGTCCCAAGCCCTGGTTGGGGTCATACAGAAGGCAACCAGTCGATGTGTTCTCTCACATCAATGTTTCTCTCTCTCTCAATCTCTCCCCCCTACCTCCCCCCATTCCACTCTATCTGAAGATAAATGGAAAAATATCCTCGGGTGAGGATTAAGAAAAACAAAACATGAATTAAAACTTAAATTGCCCTTTGATGTAGTGTATGTATTTGTATCTATCACGATCTTAGAGGAATCTTTTTCTTAACCCTGACCTTGTTTCTTATCAAGGTGTTGGTTATTTGGTACTTTTTGCCCTAGGGGTGGCAAAGATCATATGATTCAAACAACAGTTTCCTAAGAGAAGAAGGATGTATATCTAGGTGTTTCTCCCAGCACTTTAAAGTGTAAACCTATGGACTTGAATTGACACACAAGTGTCCACTGTGTTTCTCTATCCCTGTGGAAACCACATTTCTTTGTCCGACTCTGAAGCCACACTGCAGGACAGGGTCTTTCCCGGCCTCTGGTGCACACGCAGCATATCTCTCCAGGAACACGTCCTCTGCACTCCCCACCCCGCCCCCTTCCACGTTTAAGGAACCGTCAATAATTTGCAAAGTCTCTGAAGCCTTGTTTCACTGAAGTGATACCTGTGGTCATGGCAGTATTTGTCCTGCAGAGTTCTGAAACTCCAAGCATCCTCATTTCAAAGAATTAGAAATCAGCATTCTGTGACCTCTAATGAAATAATTGCTGTGAGGAAAAGTCAGTGTATGCTAATAGCCGATGATGTTCATATGGTTGCAAAGTATCCCACAGATTACTTGCTTAGTGCAAAAACAGAAACAAATTTCATGTCATTCATAACGGGACAGATGACCCTAATGCTCTCCCAGTCCACAGAGTCACCTGTGCAATATTCTTGCCGAAAATGTTTAACCCAATTCGTACCACATCTTTAGCTCTAATGTGAGTTTCAGGAAATACAAGAAGTAGAAGGAAATGGGTGTATATACATGATGGATATTCTCAAGCAAATGGACCATCTTTGGAGGTCAGAATAGGAAAGGGAGCGTTATTCTAGATTCAGAGAAACTAAAGAAACGCAGTCGAATACGGTGTATGACCCGTCCTTGGACCCTGGTTTGAACGAAGTTGGAGTAAAAGAGAACTTGGGGATAAGAGAAATTTTAACTTGAACTAGATTTTGGATATTTGGGAATTATTTATTTATCAAATGTGATAACAGTTTTATTATTATATAGGAAGATGTCTTTATGCTGAATTACTTACGTGTAAAGTATCACGTGTATACTTTTATTTTAAAATGGTTTATCAAAGCCCTGGTCAGTGTGGCACAGTGGTTGGAGTGTCAGCCCACACACAAAAGGGTCACGGGTTCAATTCCTGGTCAAGGGCTTGTACCTGGATTGCAAGTTCAATCCCCGGCCCCCATCAGGGCATGTGCAAGAGGCAACCAATCGGTGTCTCTCTCACATCAGTCTCTCTCTCTCCCTCCCTCTCCTCCTTTTTCTCCTCCTTCCGCCCTTTCACTCTTTCTAAAAAATCAATGGAAAAAATATCCTCAGGGTGAGGATTAACAACAACAAAAAAATGGTTTAGCAAAAAATATATATAAAGAGAAAGATAAAGAAATACAAAATGTTGCCCTGGCCGGTGTGGCTCAGTGGGTTGGGCAGTGTTTCATGCACCGAGGTCACCAGTTCAGTTCCCAGTCAGGGCACACACCTGGGTTATGGGCTGGATGCCCGGTGGGGGCCTGTAGGAAGCAGCTGATCGATCGTTGTTTCTGTCTCACTGATGTTCCTCTCTCCTTCTACCTTCCTCTCTTTCTCTAAAATCAATAAAAACCTAATTTAAAAATACAAAATGTTAATTGTTGGATATGGGTGGTCAACATATGAGTTGTTTTGTATATTTAAGTTTTTCACAGTGAAAATTTTAAAAATAAAATATTACTGTATCCAAATAGCATGTCTCACCTACACACCATGTAGAAACCACAATGTGTCACTTGCTTGAAGACCCATTTGATGACTATTCGGCTGCCTTATGTTAGTAAATAAACAGTGAAGGGAGACAAAAAAAGGCTGAAACATTTAAAACTAGCCTGACTTACTCCTAGATCACTTTCGTTTTAGACTTTTATTCCGACTCTGTTTGACTACAGTGGTAACAGTTTGGCAGGGACATTCCACAAAAGCTTGTTCAAACAGGATCTCAGTTATTTTTTTAATTCTTTAGTAATGCACTCTTAAGAAATAATACAAAATACACATGCACAGGAGAAAAGTGATCATATGTCCTCAAGCTGACACTTTGGAGAATTCTTTGTTTAGGGTTAAAGGGTCAAAGCTGTATGTTTGCTTAATAAGGCATAATTTTTTGGTAACATGTTAAAAATAAAATCTCTTCTTTTTTCTTCCAATCTGTGGGCTAATAATAGCTGTCGACCTGCTGGAGAAGATGCTTGTACTGGACTCGGACAAGAGAATCACAGCAGCCCAAGCGCTTGCGCACGCCTACTTCGCTCAGTACCACGACCCTGATGACGAGCCCGTGGCCGACCCCTATGACCAGTCCTTTGAGAGCAGGGACCTCCTCATCGAGGAGTGGAAAAGTAAGGCACAACGGCAGCATTGACCTTAGCTTGAGAACTTGATTGGAAAATCTTCCCTAGATAGCTGCGAACCAAAAGCTGTAGAAAAATAAGATTTCTGGCTGTGACCAGCTCGTTAACACTTGTGCCCAGGGTCTGGCAGAGCGAACGTGCTCCTCTGTCGGAAACTGGAAGATGGCGACACTCCCGAGCTGCGAGACGCTCGTGCCCGCTCTGTGCGCACAGCCCACACCGCCGAGGTTCTGGGACGCTGCAGCATCTCTCCGAGATGAGCGGGAAGGGTACTCTTAGTTTTACAGCTGGTACAATCGGGCCAAAGAGAGTTTATATCTGACCTGTTACCTTAGACCCAGTTAGGGACACAGCCAGAAATGGAGCTATGTCTGTATGTCTAATCCTGTATTCTTTCCGTAAAACCCAAACTCAGAACTCCAGGTAAATCCCAGCAGCCAGGGCCCCGTCGCGGAGGCCTGTGGAGCGCTCCGTTACCCTTGCGCTTTAAAGAGAAGGCGCTGAGCGATGACAGAGACAAGGAAACAATGAGTTTCTGTCTGTCTCCTTGAACTTCTGTGTAGTCACATGGCCCATGGGGATGTCACCCACAAGCAGCCAGTAGTTACTTAAGTGGCTCTCAAAGCACCAGCCTGGACAGGGCGGGTGGCCCGGCGCCCAGAAGTTCGAGCTTGCCAGCCAAGACTAGTCTAAACTCAGTTTCCTCTTCCTCCCCGTGTCTAGGCCTGACCTACGATGAAGTCATCAGCTTCGTGCCTCCACCCCTTGACCAAGAAGAGATGGAATCCTGAGCGCCTGGTTTCTGTTCTGCTGATCCCACTTCACTGTGCGGGGAAGGCCTTTTCACGGGAACTCTCCGACTCATTCAAGTGCCTCTTGTTGCAAAGATCTCCTCCATGGTGGAAGAGGGTGTGCGTGTGCACGCATGTGTGTTAGTGTGTGTGTGTGTCTGTCTTTGTGGGAGGGTGAGAGACTATGAGCAAACTATGCTCACAGTGACTTTCCATGGAGTCCCAGACCCCTGTGGCAGCCTCTGCTTGCGCTTCCTGGGTCCGCTCAGGCAGGGGCTGCATCACGTTAGGTTTCTTAATGCGAAGTAAAATTATTAAATGTCCCACATCCCCATCATGCTTTTACCATTTTGGCCTCTCCTGTGGCCCCACCTTGATGGTGGGGGGCCGCCTTGACCACAGTGGCACAGAGAAGGCGTACAGCCAGAAAGGACCAACTGGCTCCTGCGCACTGGTCTAAGATGAATTGCTGTGTGATTCTCAGAACTCAGCAGGTGTACCGAACTGTAAATATGTCTGTGCCTTAAAAGGAGAAGAAGTGTGGCTGGTAAGAGATTGCCGCAGATGAAGTTCTGAGCCAGGCGAGGAGTCGGCTTGTTGGACGGCCACTTGTGGAACTGGGAGCCCGCAGAGGCGCCGTGTGTGCACGTGTGAGCATGCGTGTGTGGGCTGCCCCCAACCCCCAGGTGGTGTTGCCGTTTCTCTGCTCACCCCAGCTTCAGTGCAGAGGTTTCTTGAGTATTGGACCCAGTAGCCAGAGCCAGTTCTTGCTGTCCGTGTACTTCCTGTGTGCTCTTTCTTCCTGGCAGAGTGACGATGTGTTTGCACGTCTTGCTGTTTGAGCATGCACAGCTGCTTGTCCTGTGTGCTCCGGGAGGCCCTGGTGCCAGCAGGTTTGCCAGTGAGGACTTCTTGGGAGTTCAGGACCCATGTCACCTTGGCCGATGCTGGGCAGGTGCATCTTCTCTTCAGCCCCCAGTGCTATTTTGTGTTGAACACAATTGATACTCAAGGTGCTTTTGATGTGAAAATTATGAAGAAATGGAACAGATGGATATATAGCATTTTCTTTCTTGCCATCTGGTTTTCAACAGACTATTTTGAGGAGCCGTCACGGGAAAGGTAGGGCTTTTCCCAGGAATATCTCAGACTCTGGAAGACAAGTTGTTTTCTTCACTCCCAGTAACCAATGCTAAGAAATGCCGAAAATCAAAGTGAAAAATAAAAATGCTCAGGAGGCCAGAACTCCTTTTGCTATTTTTGTCTAAATATGGTTATTTTTAAAATAAAAGTAATGGGGTGTCTTTTCCACCCTTCTTTGAAAAAGGGTCTTCTTGGCAGCTTAATATTGACTTCTTGGTCTCGGTTTAGGGAGAAATGAATTTTGTATATTGCAGGAATCATTTGAGAATGTGATTTCTTTAGATGGGGAGAAAGGGCAAATTATTTTAATATTTTGTATTTTCAACTTTATAAAGATGAAATATCCTCAGGGGTAGAGAAGAGTCGTTTTCATAATTTTCTGAATTTCAGGCATCTTGTGCTACATAAGGGCCCATGTGTTTAAACCTTTTGTGAAATAAGAACGTAAAGCCACTTCCAGTGTTGGCCATGTGACAGAGTCTTGTGCCGGGGCCAAGGTGTTTCCGTTCTGTCACGGCGCAGCGATCGCGCACTCCAGAGGGACAGGGTAGGACCTGAGTCAGCTGGAGCAAGAAGGAAGGAGGCAGGCTGGTGGTGGTGACACCCCACCTGGGACTGTCCCCCTTAAAGGAAAATGAATGCAAAGCCCTCATCTCCTTGATGTGCAGCTCAAACCCTCACAGTCCACAGCAAGATGAATTTTGTCAGCATGTTGGGTTGTAAATGCTGGTGTGATTTCCTATGGAAGTGCTGCTCTGAACTCTCGTCAAAGCCTCTGCCGGTGTGAGTCTGTGTGTGGGGAGGCTGAGGGCTGCGGGGAGGCTGAGGGCTGCGGGGAGCCTGGGCTCAGCTGGCGCCTGAGGAAGTGCTCCTGGCCCTGCCGATGCTCCGGCTCCTGATTTCTCTGACCGGAAAGCAGAGGGGAGAATGAGGGAAACTGCTATTTTATTTGTACTCATGAACTTGGCTGTAATCAGTTATGCCATATAGGATGTCATACATTACCACTGGTCAAAATAAAGCCTATTTTTCAAATTTAGTGAGTGTCTCAATTTTACTATATTTTTCTCTGGATCATTTTTAATTTACTGCTCAATATCACTTTATATCAATGTTCTTTCAAACTGTGGCCTGGCATACTCTTCTGACAGATCTAAATATTACTCCTAAAATTTAGACAACATTTGTAGAGCTCCTCAGTTGTGCATTTGTGGTGAAGCAGATCCAAGTCTTTGAAGCGAAAGGGTAAAGCAGAGAGCAAATGAACCAGATGTGAGGCAGCAGGTCCCTGGCTACCGCCCTGTGCTACTGCCCTGGGCGGCGGAGGGCCTAGGACGGCCCACGGCCCACAGCCAAATCCAGCCGCCAACAATGGCTTTTACATTTTTAAATAGTTGAAGTAAGAAGAACAGTGTTTTTATAGCATGTGAGAAACAATAATGTAAATTCAAATTTCAGTGCCCGTAAATAAAATTTTCTTAGAACGCAGTTGCACGTTGGTTTAAGGCGTTGTCTGGGGCTGTAGTAACAGGGTTCAGTAGTTGTGACAGACACCGTGTGGCCCACAGACCTACACTTGACACTTTTACAGAAATTGTTTGCCAACCTGTGGCCTAGGGTTCCCATTTCCGCATTTGTGAAAGGAAGTTGTTTTAAGTTTTAAGTTGTGTTAAGCGGCTGGGTTCTGTTCAGCTTTGACATTTTAAGCCTATCTGTAGCAAGTATTTATTTCTAAATTTCCAGAGAGAAGGTTGGATGTGTACCTATGTGTACATTGTTTATCGGATTTTAAGCAAGTATATTTTGTGTCTGTTGTCTATGGACTTTGACAACATTCTTCAGAACTACTGAATTGCATCACAGATATAAAGAGCCCGCGGTCTCGTGGCTGTTTTTAGGGTCCGTGTTGGTGTGCGTAGTGGCTGGGAGTGCTGGCAGGTGTCCGGGGGGGTTGTGCAGCTGGTTTCTGTCCTGTGCCATCTGGTCCCTGGCTGGCACTTGGAACGATGGTGGTGGTGGAAGGCAAACCCAGCACAGGCTCCTCTCCTGCTCTCAGCGACCTCCCGAAGGGCTAAAAGAAAAGGTGCCCAGTTGTCACATGAGATGCCTCAGCCCCTGTAAGGACCAGGCGGTTGTAGGAAATGTTTTGCCTTCACACACTGGACACGAGGGCAGCACAGCCTTCCTCCCAGGCTTCTGAGAGTGGACACCAGAAAAAGCTTACCTGAAGTGAATCCACATAAAATGGGGACCAGCGTTTTATAGTATGTAGTGGGGGTTGAGGGAGAGAAGTCTGATGGGGACTTTTGTCATGAAAACAATGCAATTATAAAAGCATATTCATAATTTCAAATATATTCTAGTTAATTTTTGCAAAAATACTTGAGGTCTTCCTCAGTTTTCCTAAGGACCTCAATCTTTTTTTTTTTTTTTTTTTTTAATATTCTAGTAGCCACATTTTTTTTTACTTTTAAAATTTTGTTTTTTATTTTTCAGTTACAGTTGCTGTACAGTATTAGTTGCAAGTGTACAACTCAGTGATTAGACATTTTGTATAACTTACAAAGTTATCAACCCAATAAATCTAGTACCCATCTGACACCATATACAGTTATTATAATGTTATTAACTATATTCCCTATGCTATAATTTACATTCCCATGACTATTCTATGAATTTGTACCACTTTTTAAAAAAATTTTTTTTATTAATTTATTTTTGTTACAGATATTTCTCCTTTTTTTCCCCAGTGATACCCTCCTCCCGATCCCCCCACCCCATACCCGGCTTTGTTGTCCATGTCCATCGGTTATGCGTACATGCATATAAGTTCTGTGGTTTATCTCTTTCCTCCCCCCACCACCCCCTCTTCTGAGGGTTGTCAGCCTGTACCCTACTTCCACATCTCTGGGTCTACCCAATTCCCCAGACTGTTATGTTCATTATATTCCACAAATAAGTGAGGTCATTTGATACTTGTCTTTCTCTGATGACTTGTTTTGCTTAGGATAATACTTTCCAGGTCCTTCCATGTGGTCTCAAAGGATAAGAGATCTTTCTTTCTTACAGCTGCATAGTACTCCATTGTGTATATGTACCACAGCTTTTCTATTTATTCGTCTACTGATGGACACTTGGGCTATTTCCAGATGTTAGCTATTGTAAATAGTGCTGCTATGAACATGGGGGTACGTATATTCTTTCTGATTGGTGTTTCAGGCTTCTTAGGGTATATTCCTAGAAGTAGGATCCCTGGATCAAATGGCAATTCAATTTTTAATTTTTTGAGGTAGCACCATATTGTTTTCCATAGCGGCTGCACCAGTCTGCATTCCCACCAGCAGTGTATTAGAGTCCCCTTTTCTCCACACCCTCGCCAACACTTGTTGTTTGATGATTTGTTGATGGCAGCCATTCTGACAGGTGTGAGGTGATACCTCAATCTTTTAATAGTCACAGTGTTCCTTTATTTTTTATCCTCACTAGAGGACATTTTTACATTTATCTTCAGATAGAGTGGGAGGGAGAGAAAGAGGGAGAGAGAGAAACATTGACGTGAAAGAGACACATCAACTGGTTGCCACCCACACGACCCCAACCAGGGCTGGGGACAAACTGCAACTGAGGTACGTGCCCTTAGTGGGAACCGAACCCAGGACTCTGGTCCACAGGCCGACGCTCTAACCGCTGAGCCAAACCGCCCAGGGCTCACATTGTTCTTTTTTATAGGTATCGGTTGGTGATCACTTCATCACTTTTCCTTTATTAACTGGACTGAGGCCGCCAAGTTCCCATTTTCAGTGACTTCGCTTGAGATAGGAGCAGTTTTCTAGCATTGTTTATAAAAAGTTAATCAAATCCACCATCTTTTACAGAATTTGCAATTATTGCAATTAATCTTCATTCTTTTTGTGTCATTTGCCGTATGCTTACAATGTAATCAGTAGAGACTAACAGAAGACCAGAACGGGTAGGATGGACACTGGGCTCAGATGCTCATGAACAAGGAGGGACAGTTTTTATGCATCTGCTCAGTAGTGAGTGTGTTCATGTGACAACTTTCACAGGGACTCGGCTAACAAATATGTTAATAACGACCCTTTATATTTATAATACAGATTATTTTAATATACATACCCTTCGAACTTAACATTTACATTTCTCAGAAGTTAGAGGCCTCATAAATATACAAAGGGAAAGGTTATTTGGTGTTACATTCTTTTTTAAAAAAAGAGAGATAGAAACATGTATCACTCACATCGGTTGGCTGCCTCCTGCATGCCCACCACTGGGGATCGAGTCTGCAACCCAGGCATGTGCCCTGACCAGGAATCCAACTGGGCCCTCTCAGTCCATCAGTCAGTAAGGACTTGATTGAATACGGTGGCCATCTGTGCAGTGCAGTTCCCCATGGGGAGGCGTGGCTATGTGCAGGGTGGGTGAGGGGTGAGAAAAGGTAAGCGGCGGACGAGAGGCTAGCGGCGCCCTTTTTGTATTAATACTGATAGTATTTGGCTAGGAAAACCCTAGAGGAACACACACCAAACAGCAATCACCTCTGGGTAGTGGGGTTAGAAGTGGCTCTAACTTGTACAATTTCTCTTATGTTTGCTTTGTTTTCAAACACTAATTTTTAAAAATATTTTTCAATGACAGTTGACATTCAGTATTATGTTAGTTTCAGAGAAACTAACACAGTGGTTAGACAGTCATACTTTACAAAGTGTACCCCCCACGCCGATATTTCCAGTTGCCCGCCTGGCAACCTACATAATTATTACAAGAATAGTTTCTGTTTAAATCAGAAAAGTGTATTGTACGGAAGACTTTCACAGTCTGTGTGACCTGGGGAACCAGTCCCCAGTCTCCGTTTGGCCAGGGCCAAAGCCCACCTTTTCAAGACAGGACGCTTGCCGCAGAGGGGCCGCGCCCAGCTGCTGGGCCTCGGGGAGCAGAGCGCCCCAGGTTTTGCAGCAGGGTTCTGTCCTGCTGGGAGGGCTTGGTAGTTTCTTCCCCATCAGAAGAGTGTTTTACAGATCTGAGGCAGGACTTTTTCAGCTTTGGCACTATTGACATTTGCGCCAGGTAATTCTTAGTCGTAGGGACTGTCCTGTGCACTGTAGGATGTTAAGCAGCATCCCTGTCTTCTGCTCACAAGATGATAGTAGCACACTTGTGCCCCTCTCCCAGTCAGGACAGCCAGTATCTCCAGACATTGCCAAATGTCCCCTGGGGGGCGAAGTCATTCCCGTGAGAACCACTGGTCCACAGCTTGAGACGGCTCCAGTCTCGCAGAACACCAAAGCCTCTTTCCTTGAAATAATTGAAGGTTAACACCTACAAATCTGTTATCACTTAGACAAGTGGCTTGATATCTTGAGGGGAAGTACAAATAGGCAAGACCTTTTTAAAGACCACAGTGTATTCTTTGGTGGGGGGATATTAGGCAGTTCAGAAGAAAGTATATTCAATCCTGAATTAAGGCTACTCCATTTCTCAAAAAAGAAAAAAAAAAAAAAAAGAGGTGGGTGTTGAGTGTATCAAGTTATCTTTTGTTCAGAAATGCTCTGGCCGATTCCAGCAAACAGAATCGAGTAATTAAACTGGGGTATGACTGCAAGACTTTCTGAGGTAGATGATCGGTCACACTGGAAAGAATACTGGGTTGTTTTTTAAAAATATTTTTATTGATTTTTTTCTTTAGAGAGAGGAAGGGAGAGAGAGAGAGAACATCGATTGGCTGCCTCCTGCACACCCTCTACGGGATGGAGCCCACAACCTGGGCATGTGCCCTGACCAGGAATCAAACCCATGACCCTTCCGTGCACAAGACAGTGCTCCAGCCAACTGACCTGTGTGAGCCAGGGCATAAAGAATGTGCTTTGTTTACAAGTCACTAAGTAGTTAAGAGAGGAAGTAACCTTAAGTCCAATTTTGCAATTAAAAAAAAATGGCATATAGCCCAGCCAGTGGCTCAGTGGTTGAGTGTCGACCCAGGCACCAAGAGGGCACCAGTTCATTCCCCAGTGGGGGGCGTGC